ATTCCTGTCGGAGGAAAGTGTAGCGACACTGACAAGGTAGTGTGGTGAAAACCTGCCTTGGCTGCTTGCTGGTTTCAAGCTTTGTTTTTAATGAACATGAAAATAACGCTGCTTCAGTAAAAGAGTTTTGGAATAAATCAAATGTAGATTCATTGCAATTGCCTTGGGAGGCAATCCAAATTTGAGCTAACAAACTCCATTTATGGGTAGCGATGTTAAGAACGGAAAGATAGCATATCTTCAGCTTGCTTTCACTTCATATTTATTTTAATAAGGTTAGTTTTGTAATGCATGGTTTATAATAATTAGTCCTGTTATGTCTCACAGCTTCTTTAGGGTTTCTCATGGTTGGCTGTTAATGACAGAATTACACACTAGTAGCAAACTAACATGTTACCCATTTCTTTTCCAAACTATTAATGAATGCAGTGTCTTGGTGCCAAGTATCGGGTCCAAGGGCAATGGCTGTTAATCAGTCCCTACTACAAAAAATACCATTCTCTGTGACACTGTGGTTTTGAATCACTTCATCAGTTTTTGTTACAAGACAGACCAAGCTTGGGAACAGTTGTCTGCTGTGCCTGGTGCTATAGAGTAGAATTGTACCTCTGTTGAGAAGAATCGCTCAGGATGTGAAGGAGGGCTATGGACTGAGGCTGCCCAGGTACTGGGGACCACAATCGTGTGAACAGAATAGCAGAGACCAAGCAAACGGGTCACTCCATGAAGCGTATTTTTCTATTCCTCGGACATGTATGCTCCTATCCAGAAGAGGCTGTTACTAGCAGTATTCTTAGCACCTGTGGCCTGCACCTAAGAATGCTAAATTAATCTTTCTTGTGTCTTCTCTGTACTCTTCAGTGACTTACCTGGGCCTCCTTCCTGCCACAAGGTTTTTTGGCTATGGAAGTAAAGGGTCTCTATGCTGCCTTCCTCTGCTGAGTTAGTAAATAGCTTCTGGATCAAAATAGTAAACCATTAGTGCCACTGAAACATTGTGGCCTGCGCAAGCAGTAACCCCCTTCCCTCTCCACCCCCGCACCTGAAAGCCAGTAAGAGTACTTGAATGCGTGCTGCACCCAGGAGAGTTGGGGAGTTTGTGTTCTGGCCTTTTGTATTGCATAAAGCACAATCCTTTTCTTTTCCAGTAAGCTGTTATATTTACTTTTGCACAATTACAGGTATCATTGTTTAAGCCCTATTGTATTTCTTGGTAGTTCTGAGTTTCAGACTTTATTCACATGACAAGTGATACTGTATTTTCAAAGCCAAATAGCTTGCAGGCACCCTATCCTAAAATGTAATACTCACTTCATTGGCTGACATGCTTGTCTCTCATATGTACGACATACATAGGAAGAAACTGCTGGTATACTTATTGTATCTGCCTATATACACATCCTATATATATCCTACTGCCTACAAACATACCTTTTATAGAATCACCTCAAGCCACTTGGGTGCTGGAGACCAGTATTTGCCTGGTACCCACCAGTACAGAGCAGCTCTGAAAAGTCCTTTCTGCTCTCCTGAAGCTGAGTCACATTCCAGGTATACTGCTCGTGGGGCTTGATGGATCTGCTAGAAAATTAGTTGAGAGAACACTGTAAAAAAATCGAACAGAGAAGTGGAGGCCCTTTTCTTAACGGCGTCAGCTTAATATAATGCCATATAAAAAGTGCCATGAGTAAGTGATGGGGAGGAGGGTGGCGAGGGGGGGTTGTGTTTGTTATCCACTGTGTTGAATATTTTGGCATTCATGCCAGTGTTCAATCACCAGTAGGGTTAGACTGAGGGAGAAAGATGGTATTAGTTCTCTGCATCCAGACCATCTACAGGATAATCTCCAACTATATGAGACAAATGGCGCAGCAGTTAAGACACAGTTGTAAATGCCCTCAGGAGTCACTCAGGCTTAATTCCCCCCAGCACATCTGAATCCCACCTGCTAGCTGTGCCAGGCTTCTTGACGTTGCATTGCTGAGGCTCCATGTCCTGCTGCTTTTCTTCTGTTTAGCCCTCCCTGAAGGGCTCAGATGTCTCTTCTGTTGCTTCAGCGTGGTTTATCTCTTGAGTCAGTTTTAATCCCTGCTGTTCTTCAAAACTCATTGCTTCCTATCTTCGGTATAAGGTCCTGATCTTCACAGTGGAGTTTTACTGCCCGTTTTTAACACCCTTTCTTCAGTGATATATTTATTAATAATGTTGACTTTTAAATGATCAGCCCTGAGCCTTTCAAATAACCATTTACTGAAATGTATGAGGCAGGTCAGACCTTCTGCAGTTGTTGTTTTACCTGTTCAACACACTTTAGGGGTTGTCTTTGCATCAGTTATACATGCACTGATGCTCAGGAGTACCTGGGTACCAGCATAATTCTGACAGTGACTCACACTATTACTTTAAACAAGCCACTTCAGGCTTTGCTGCTTCAGTTTCCCTAGTGTTTTGGAGGTTGTTAGGAGTTTTGTTTCATAAAGACCATCAGAAGAGTTCAGCAGCAAGTAACAAGCATATATATGTATTAAACCAGAGTCTCAGCTAATGTAAATGTGCAACTCCAAAATTTAGCAGTTCATATCATCTAGCTCTGGCCCAAGTAGTCTACCTGAATTACATAATCCCAAACACAGAGAGCTTTTGTTTCCAGTCTCTTCTCTGTGCTTGGCTGCAGAGGCAGGTTTTGCTGTCTTCCTACTCTGTAAGGAGAGCTGCCTTTACAGAATTGCGTTCTGTAAAACAGAGAACACAAGGCGGAAGGGAAGAGAAATTCACTTGCATCCCCATTTGGTCTGACTGCCTGTGCCAGTCCTTAGAAGTGCTGCTGGCCTCAGGGCATTATCAGTCCTATTTTGTATGTGTCCCTGCCTTCCTGAAGCTTTCAAACCGTGCCCTAAGTCCCACTGGATGTTAACAGCCCCTAATGAAATGGTCAGCAAATCCAAGTACTACAACAGTGAGGACATTAGTGGAGGAAGGGGTAAGCAAGGAAGATAAATGTTGCCCGAGCTGGACAAT